TATAAGAGAGTGGGCATAAGAGATTGGCATATGGAATGGGGTCACTGCAGGAAATGAAAAGGTTAGGAAAAGAAAGCATCTGAGTAACTTCTGAGTTTGTAATGAGAGAAAAGGAGAAAAAGTTGTAAGCGGGAAAGGGAAGATCCTATTTATTAAGTTCTTTTCTGGAAGAAAAAAAAAAATCAATGAAATATTTGAAGAGGGAAGTAGATGCTGGAAGAGAAGGTTTCAAGATCATTTCACCGGGAGCTAAAAGGTGGCTGAGATTGCAGCTGTGGGATTCAGTGAGGTTGGTGAAGCAAAGCTGGTTAACTACGAAGGTGGTGGAACTGATGAGAAAAAATTTAGTGGAGGAAGTCAACCTAATCACTGTATTTCTGTCACCGATGAAGGCCATTGGCCTGGGCAGCATGGGAAATTATTTGTAATATTTGTATTGGGTGGGGGTTGTCATTTAGGACATAGATCCACAGATATTAGGGTTGGAAGGGACCTCAGTAGGTCATCGAATCTGACCCCCTGCCCTGGGCAGGAAAGAGCACTGGTTTCCCCACTTTCACGGTCTCTATTCATACTGAAAATCAAGATCAAGCGAGCTTTTGCCCTTCTGCTCCACAGGAGGTTTCTGAGCTCACCTTAGTACACCTGCATTATGGCTTGACAGGTGTACTGTCCCAGTCAAACTCCCCACACCCCACGTTTTCATTTACTCCATTTTGCCCATCAATACCAGAGGCAAGAGTCCTGTATGGCCATGTCTGCCACCAGTGACAACCCACTGCTTCACTAAAGTCTAGCTGAGTGAAACTCAGTGTATGAGTCAGACTGCACAAGGAGCGCTGGAGCCCACACCACTGTCTCTTAGCAAGACTAAAAGAAAAGAAAAGCAGCAGAAACACTTGTCTGTCACCAACAGTCAAGCAGGACAATTCTCAAATCATATAGAAGGCATCTCCGTTAAATAAGAAGGTGTCACTTTTTTCTGAACTGATGACACTTTTAAGGGTAGGGATAGAGGTAAGATTTGAAGCACTTTAAAAATAAAGTGCTTCAGATCAGAGAGATGAACAGGGGTGAGGGTTCCCCTTTGCACTCTGCCTCCCTTCTCCCAGGGCATCCCCAGCTGCAACTGGGAGATCAGGAGCCCTATACACTCCTGCACCTCTCCCAGCTCTGGCAGAGAGGGACAAGAGGTGAACAGAGGTGGAGTGCACAGGAAAGCATGCTCGTTGACTATCTGCTCCCTCTCCCTCTTTCTCAGTGGGGTACAGGGAGCAAGGAGCACTGTGGGATGCTGGAGGACTAAGCGGCCACTGTCATGGTCTGTAGAGCATGGGCATGCAACTGGAAGTGCTGCATTTTGAAGTGCTTCTCAACTTGCTTTTCTTCACGGTTATTTTGGGAGTGCTTCTGCCATTTCTGAAATGTAAACACCCTTTAAAGCATCTGTCCACTTACCCTTTTAAGCCTTTCCAAGGCATTTGAAAGAGCTTAATCTGTCCACACCCTCAGATAGCCACATCAGCACAGCCCTAAATTACATTACTTTCTCTTC